AGTGTTTCTCAGTCTAGGATGATTCTGTCACCTTGAGGACAGCTGTCAATGTGTTTGGGGATGTGTGCAAGGGGAGAGCAGGCATGCCACTAGAATTTAGAGGACACAGGCCAAGGTGTTACTAAATATCTTATTATGCCCAGACAGTCCCCAACCCCATAATAAGTAATTATTTAGACACTTTAAGTGTCTACAGTGTCCAAGATTAAGAAATAACAGAACAATTGTTTTTACTTATAAAGACGTGTTTTGAAACCTGAGAATTAACTAGTTCTGGTATATGGATGAACTTCAACATCAACTTTTTTAAAAATTAGATCCTGGGTCAGAGATTTAGCTCAGTGGTAGAGCACTTGCCTAGCAACAAGGTCCGGGGTTCAGTCCTCAGTTACAAAAAGGAGATTTCATAGTAGTCTTGGATAATCTGGAGCTCACTATGTAAACCAAATTGGTCTCAAACTCTTAAGTAATCATCCTGCTCTGTTTTTGCCTCTGCCTCTGAGTGCTGGGATTACAGGAATGTGCTGCCATGCCCAGCTTTAACTTAAATGTATTCTGAATCTCCATGATGACTGCATAACTGAGCCATCTTGTGGTCTGGTTTCCATGATTTTCTTTTGTATTTGTTGTTACAATTAAATAAGGCATTTAGCTTTAATAGTCTATAAGCTTAATTTTAATATTTTATGTGTTTGGGGTAGGTTGTCATTAGGTTAGCAAGGGGTAATATAAAAATGATTGTTGACTTGACTTCTGCTTTATACTGATTTGTTGAACATTAATGGAGCTGCCTCACCTGTTATACTTAGTGATGAAGAAGGAACAATGGTTTTTCATGAGTCAGATAATTGTCTCTCATAACAAATTAGGCCCAAGGCAACTACTGACAAAGAATACTATGATCAAAGATTCTATGCTTCTTTATAGAGACAAAAAAAATAGAAATGGTAGAATTGAGTCACCATCGAAGGTGTAGGCAAGATAGGCACACAGTATTCCACAGGTCAGGACCATCTCCACACACTGCTTCCTGGAAGCTTAACTTGTATGTTTCCACTTGCATTTTAACCCTGATTTTGGTGGTTTTGTTTTGTTTTGAGACAGGGTTTCTCTATGTAACAGCTTTGGCTGTCTGGAACTCGATTTATAGACTAGGCTGGCCTCAACTCGCAGAGATCCACCTGCCTCTGCCTACCAAGTGCTTGGATTAAAGGTGTGCGCCACCAACGCCGGCTTTAGCTTTTTAAAAAATATTTGTTTTGAGACAAGGTCTCACTTGTGTGTGCCTGGAAGCCACCTGCCTGCTATAGCATGCAAGTGGAGATCAGAGGACAATTTAAGGGAGTGAGTTCTCTTGATCCACCTTGTAGGTTCTGGGAATTAAAATGAGGTTATAGGATTGGCAACAAGTGCATTTACACAGTGAGCTTTCTTGCTGACCAGATGGTAATTTTCTTTCTCTCTTTTTAAAAAAATATTTTTTTAAAAAATGTATTTTATGTGTATATGTTTTCCTTGCATACACACACACACACACACACACACACACACACACACACACACACATATATATACTCCTTAGAGGCCAGAGGCTGTCAAGTCACCTGGAACTGGAGTATGGGCTGTGGATGTAGCTTATTCTATAGCTTCTGCCTAGCTCATGGAAGATCTGAGGTCCAGTCTGTAGCACCAAAATATAAAACTTGATTAAGTGTGAAACCTATCAGTACTTCGGAGGCTGAGTCAGGGGAACTACCCCGAGTTCAAGTTAGTCTAGGCTATATAGTGAGACTTGGTTTCAAAAATAATGCTAGGCAAAATGGCTCAGCAGGTAAAGGAACCCGAGGCCAAGCCTGATGACCTGAGTTCTATCTCTAGGAACTACAAGGTGGACAGAAAAAAATGACACCTAAAAGCTGTTCCCTGGCTCACCTTGCTCTCATAAGAAAGAAATGAGTAATGACAACTGTTCATCTTCTGGGTCAGAAGGAAAAAGCAAAGTAACAAGGGTCAGGAGAGATGTTTCAATGGGTGAAAAGGCTTGCTGTATGAACATGAAGACTTGAGTTTGGATTCCAGCACCATGGGGTGGGGGGGTGTGGCTTTTGCAGTTGCATAGATCTATCTATAAACTCCTAGTGCTGTGTGGACAGAGACCAGAGCATCTCTACCACCTTTGCTTAAGGTTCTATGTTTTTTTTTTTTTTTAAACAAAGACATAACACCCAACCTCTTTCCCCTGTCTCTGTTCAAGTGTACCAGTACATGTACCTGCAAACACACGAACACATGGACACACATACATTCCAAAAAGCAATTCAGAAAAAAACAAAAAAAACAAAAAAAAAACAAAAAAACTACTGTTGTCAAGAGAATTGAAAAATGTCAAAAAAAATATTAAAAAGTCAGATGCTCAGGCAGCATGACATAGTACTTCCCTGTTTCTGTCCTGGGACCAGGGCCATGGGAATTAATGGGGGTTAACTCCTCCACTAACTGGAAATGAATAATACAAAATAAATGGTCAACTGTCATGCTGAGATGGAAAAAGATTGTAAGAGATGATTAAATACCCAAAATTTGAAATATCCAGCTAGCATGACATAGCATTTCTCTTATTTCTTATCCTATTACATTACTAATAAGAGTCAAGAGAGTTAGAGAGGAGTCAGGAATAGTGATACATGCCTTTAATGCCAGCACAGGGGAAGCAGAGGCAGGAGAATATCTGTGGATTGATAGCAAGTTCCAGGATAGCAAGGACAACATAGAGAGACCATGTCTCAAAAAAACAAAACGAAACAAAACAAAAACCAGAAAGAAAGGAAGAATGGAAGAAAGAAAAAAAGGAAGGAAGAGAGTAAGAGTGAGAAACCCAATACTATTCATCAAAAGGTCAGAGTCCCCTTTTATATCACTTACTGTGTTGTGATTTAGGGACACAGAGATGGATGTAATCCAAATCCTACCATCTGGAACAGTGGTTCTCAATCTGTGGGTTGAAGGACCTTTCACAGGGGTTGCGTAAGACCATCGGAATACACAGATATTTACATTATGATTCATAACAGTTGCAAAATTACAGTTATGAAGAATAAATGAAAATAATGTTATGGTTGGGGGTCACTACAACATGAGGAACTGTATTAAAGTGTGGCAGCATTAGGAAGGTTGAGAACCACTGCACTAGAAAACCATGCTAGCAGGAAGAGGCAGAAATGTAAACACGACTAAAGGATTTTTTTTCTTGGCTGTACAGGTAATTGTTTAGGCATAATGGTCAATTCAACGGACAGATGAAAGTCAGTGACACTGTTAAAGGGATTGCACACATAGACCAAGGTCAGGAACAGCTTTACAGGAAGTAATGGTTATCTGAGTCTTCAGGTCAGGCGTATCTTTTAGGGGACAACTCAGGGGAACTGGTTTTCCTGGTATGAATAAATAGACTTGAAGCAGTTCTGGGTTTTAAGTGAGGAAAATGGATAAGGTACAGTAGAAACAATAGTTAACATCTTACAATAATAGTAAGAACTAAGTATTATGAGCCCAGCTTGTTGATGCATGCCAATGATCCTAGCCCTCAGGAGGCTGAGGCAGGAGGATCATGAGTATAAATGAGATAATTGTCTCAAAAAACAAAAACCTGGGGGCTGGAGAGATGGCTCGGTGGTTAAGGGCACTGACTACTCTTCCAGAGGACCCCGGTTCAATTCCCAGCTCTCACATGGCAGCTCACAACTGTCCACACAGCCTCACACAGACATACATGCAGACAAAACAACAATGTACATAAAATTTCCATTAAGATACTAGAATTAACCAGACGTAGTGGCATATGCCTTGAGTCCCAGCACTCAGGAGGCAGAGGCAGATGGATCTCTTGAGTTTGAGGCCAGCCTGGTCCGCAGAGCAAGTTCCAGGAAAGCCAGGGCTATACAGAGAAACCCTGCCACCCTCCAAAAAGATAATAGAATTATTCCATTTTATAGGCAAGAAAAGACAAGGCTTAATGGGCTTACATGTTATTTAAGGTCACATATAAGTACAATGACTTTTTATTTATTTATTTATTTTTTTGAGGCAGGGTGTCACTATATAGTGCTAGCTGTCCTGGAATTTGATCTGTAGACTAGACTGGCCTGGGTCTCAGAGATCCACATGCCTCTGTCTCCCTAGTGCTGGGATTAAAGTCGTGAGCCACCACCGCAGCTAGGAGAGGGACTCTTGACTCAGGAAACTGACAACAGATGCCCAGTTTTTAAAGCCACAAATCAGATTAGTGACAAGACCAGATTCAGAAAGATTGAAGACAGTGGAAAAATGGATGCAAGAGAGAAAAGCAGTGTACAGTCACCAGGGACCAATGGAGTAGGGTGCCTTAAGTGGTGTGGGTTACTGAGGACTAGAACAGTTATTTTTTTTCTTAACGATTTACTTCTATTTTTTTTATGTTCATTGGTGTTTTGCCCGCGCGTTTGTTAGTGTGCAGGTGTTGGATCCATTGAGACCGGAGTTACAGACAGTTCCCAGCCCTGTGGGTGCTGGGAAATTGAACCCCGGTCCTCTGGAAGAGCAGCCAATGCTCTTAGACGCTGAGCCATCTTCTCGACATCCCAGTACAGACTTTTTGAGGCCGGGATGCAATCGAGAAACATTGGGATGCACAGTTCCCCGAACACGACGTAATTAGACGCGGTCTCCCGTGAGCAGATTGGAAGACCCTTACTCCAGCTTGGCCAAGTCTTGAAAGCACAGCACTTGGGGGTCCCGGGAATAAAGAGCGGCGAGATTTCCCAGATACCCCCGATTAGAAGACATGCCTCAAAGGGCATCCCGCTCCCACTTCTCCGAACAGCAGCCGCGAAAGCTCGACTGGGTTTTGAGACGCCCCCCAACTTCAGTCCCACCCGGGAAAGCGCTGAGTCATTCCCGCAAGGCGGCCGGGCCGGGCCCGGGCCGGGGCGGGGCGGGGCGGGGCTCAGCCAGATCCCCCTCCTACCGCACCCCCGGCCCGCTCCGAGTCTCGCGATAACTTTGTGGGCTATAAAAGCTGCGCCCCGCGCGTCTCGGGCGTCGTCTTCCTCCCTTGCCTTACTTGTTTTCCTGTTGGAGACTTGTGACTCGGCCCTGGTGAGTATGCGGGTATCGCGGCCGCGAGACCCTGCTCGCGCCTCTCGTCGCCGGTTCTTTCTGCCCCAGACCGGCCCCGGCTCCGCAGGGGCAGTCGCAGTCTGAGGCAGCGGGGCAAGGCCTGGTGCCACGAGTGCTCGGACGCTCCTCGCATTCTTCACGTGGCCTTTAGTTCCCGGACCTGTTGGAACCTGGGTGTAATAACGTTGAGTTTCCCGCCCTCCGGGCTGTCTGATAGAGAGCGTAGATTGGCGCGGCGGGACGGGGGGTGGTGGTTGGAGTCTTGTTGTCTAAGCTCGCCGCGCGCAGCCCGCTGGTGTCGCGGTGCTTTCTGAAGTGCTGGGGTGGACGACGGCCTGAGTGGCAGGAACGTACCTCCGCTGGGCTTGCCGCGTGACCGTCTCGGGCGTACGGAGGCTTCGCAGCGGTCGGAAGTCTGTGTTATTGGGATTGGTTGGGCTTTGGAAGTGCCAGGCCAACTTGCAAAGCAAGATTGATTAAAGAAGGTGGTGTGTCACGCCAGATAGGTAGTTGCTAAATTTGCAGCATGCCCTTGAAGAAAAACTTGGGTTCGATTGAAGATGAGTTGTTTGTTTTTTAAAGTTAAAAAAAAGTTTGCGATGAACGACGCTCTCCTAGCCTTTTTTTTGGTTATTGGTGTTATGAACCAAGAAGTTCGGGGCTGGGAGCATTCGGACTTGAGTGGTGTAAATTTCGTTTTAGATTGTGTCTGGGTACGTGCACGAGAGTGCAGGTGCCAGAGGAAGTTAGAGGTGTGAGCTAGTTACAGGTGGTTGTGAACCATCCGAAGTGGGTGCTGGAAAGCGAACTAGCGTCCTTTGCAAAGAAAGAGCAGTGCGGGCTCTTAGCCGTTGAGCCATCATCTCTAAAGCTCCTAATGGTGTAAATCTTAACAATCTATCTTGGTAATTGACCTGGGTAAAAAGTGCAAAAATCAGTTTGGATTTTTTTTTTCTTTTTAAGATAGGGCTTCTGTAACTAGGGCTGTCTAGCCTTGAACTCTCTTGATCCTCTACTTCCCAAGTGTTGGGATAACACTCGTTATCCCAAACCCTACCGGTAAAGTGACTCTTGGTATACCTTTGCCCCAAGATCTTGGCCCAGAGGGCAGAAAGCTAAAAAATTTTTATGAAGTATTTATGTATGTGTGTGGGCCCTGTTGTTAAGGCAACCCGTGGAAGTGAGGTTTTGGTCCATCTTGGTGCAGGTGCAGGGGATTGAATGGCGGCCAGGCAGCAAGTGCCTTAATTTACATAGCCTCCCTGATCAAGAAACTTCTTGAGACAAGTTTTCTCAGTCTTGCCTGAGCTCAGTATCCTACCTCAGCATCCAGAGTGCCCGAATTAGCTCCATTGTTCTGACAGAAACATTTAAAAAAAAAAAAAAAAAAAAAAAAAAAAAAAAAAAAAAAAAGCACGGTCTCTTTTAAGCTAGGTTGGCCTCAAACTAGTTTTGCAGAGAGAACTTCTGCTTAAACAACACCTAAAGTTTTGAAGCAATAAATGCCAATTTCCTGGCATTGTGTTGCTTGGATTCTTGTGTTTCCCCTTCTTTCCTGCTTCTGCCCAGTGCATATGTAAAATAAAATGCTGTTGCAAAAACTGGTTCAGAAAGAGCGGTAGAGCTGACATTAGACACAGTGTGGAGTTGTTTTTAAGTGAAAACAAAGACTGATATTCAGTCTTGTTTTACTTGAAGTTGGAGCATTTGGGTTGTGACCCTTGACTGCTAGCCTGTGCTTACTATTATAATATAAAACAATATATTAAAGGTCACTGGACAGTTAGTTCCTTGATTGAACTCCAGTTAAGTTCCTAGGTAAGTGAAAGCTGTTGCTTATTTAGAAAAACAGGCTTGTTTCAATTTTTTGTTGTTGCTTTTTCAGCTGATAGCAAGATGTCTTCAGGAAATGCAAAAATTGGGTATCCTGCCCCCAACTTCAAAGCCACAGCTGTTATGCCAGATGGACAATTCAGAGACATCTGCCTAAGTGAATACAGAGGTAAGAATTAATTACATTGGGCAACATGTTTCCATGTTGAAGTGAAGTCATGGTTAGAACAGTGATTACAAGGGAAGTTATCCTAGGTATAAACCTCTTACATTTACCTGATTACCTTGTTAGCAGTACTTATGTTCTCAGTAAGAATCTTTTTTTATGTATATTTTAATTTTTATGTGCATTGATGTAAAGGTGTGAGATCCTCAGGAACTGGAGTTACAGACAGTTGTAGGCTGCCATGTGGGTGCTGGGAATTGAACCCCGGTCCTCTGGAAGAGCAGCCTCCAGAAAGATTGTGTCTTGAATTTCGGGGGATTGAATTCAGGACTTCAGCCCTCTACCACTGAATTCTATTTCCCACCCTTGTCACTTTATTTTGGTTATTTTTCTTTTTGTTCCTTTGGGTTTTTTTTTTTTTTTTTTCTTTGGGTTTTTTTTTTTTTTTTTTTTTTTTTTTGAGACAAGGTCTCTACATAGTTCTAGATGTCCTAGTGCTCACTCTGTAGACCAGGCTGGCCTCAAACTCAGAGATCCGCCTGCCTCTGCTTCCTGTGTTCTGGAATTAAAGGTGGGTGCAACCACTGCCCGGCCAGTTCTTTCTTTTTTGTTTGGTTGTTTGAGACATGGTCTCACTATCCCCTGGCTGACCTGTACCTTGATACTTAGACAAGGATGGTATCAAAATCCTAGGGATCTGCCTGCCTCTGCTTCCAATAAAAGTGTCTGCCATTACCGGGTGTTGGTGGTGCACTCCTTTGATCACAGCACAGATCTCTGAGTTCAAGGCCAGCCTGGTCTACAGAGCAAGTGCCAGGATAGGCTCCAAAGCTACACAGAGAAACCCTGTCTTGAAAAACAAAAACAAAGAAGTGTCTGCCATCAATGCTTGGCCTTCTCCCCTTCCTCTTTTATTTATTTATTTTTGAAGGTTTATTTAGTTGTTATTATGTATATAGTATTCTGCCTGCATGTATGCCTGCAGGCCAGAAGAGGGCACCAGATCTTATTACAGATGGTAGTGAGCCACCATGTGGTTGCTGAGAATTGGACTCAAGACCTTTGAAAGAGCAGGCAGTGCTCTTTATTTATTTATCATGTATACAACATTCTGCTTCCATGTATATCTGCACACCAGATGAGGACACCAGATCTCATAATGGATGGTTGTGAGCCACCATGTGGTTGCTGGGAATTGAACTCAGGGCCTCTGGAAGAGCAGTCAGTGCTTTTAACCTCTGAGTCATCTCTCCATCCCCTGAGCTGTCTTTAGAGTTCCCTTCATCTCTTGTTTTAAGAAAACTTACATACATTTAGTCTTACAAATCAAGTCTTTGGAGCTGTTTGCTTCTGCTCACAGGGACGACTTGATCCCTGCAATTACATTTCATGTTGTAGTGATGCATCAAGTAGGTCTCTGGATTTTAGGTCAGCCAAAGCTGTATAGTGAGACCCCATCTCAAAAATAAAAAAGCAAAGTATAAATCAACCACCTTAATTAGTTTTTAAAGGTATATATGTATTTATGTGTGTGAATGTTTTGCCTGTGTGTATATATGTATACTGCTTGTGTGCATGGGTGTTAGAACTCCTGGAACTGTAGTTACAGATGGTTGTGAGCTGCTATGTGGCTGCTTGGATCCCAACCACAGTCCTTTGCAAAAACAGCACAAATATCTGTAACTGCTGAGCTGTCTCTCTAGTCCTCATTCTTCCTTTCCTGCCTTTCAGTCTCAGTAGTTAGGTCTTTTGGGACCACTGAGAACATAGATTGCTTAGGTGCAAGCCTCCAACTCTGGTGTTAAATGTACCCTTCTTAGTGGTAGGTGAGTTTCTGGAGATAGCTTTTGGGTAAAATATTCGGTTAAATTACTTGACAACACTTTGTTGTTGGGATGAGAACAGACAGTATTTGTCCTATGGAGAAGATCTCCGCAAACAGTTTAAAATGCACCTCTAGGGAGGTGACCCTGGCACATGGTCTAGGGAGTAGTTGCTCTCTGCCCTGTAGGGCTTGGTCTACTGAGGCTTCAAAGTGCTTGTTAAGCAAAGCCACAGAGATTGCTTAGTTGAGTCCAAAGGACTGCTTGTTTTGACTTTCAGACATAGTTGCTACCTGAAAATAAGTGGATGCTTGGAAATGTTCCAGTGGTTCAGCCATTTGGTATGGTGAGAGGCTTCATGACCCATTTGAAGATTTACTTTAGTGATAATCGGAGTTACCAAAGTAAAATTGCAGCTAGAAGTCCTGTTACCTACCAGTACTCTGACTGGGTACTTGCTTGTGGTTGTGAAATTTTTCTAATCCTGTCCTGTTTGGCTTGTTAGGAACACATTTGTTGTGATTCATGAAATTACACATTGCCTGTGAAGGCTAGGAAACATGTTCATCAGGTAAAAGTGCTTGCTGCACAAGCCTGAAGACTCAAATTCATTTTAATCCATGTAACCTACATTTAAAACAAAAAATAGGATTCATTGGTTTGGATCCCGCACCCCCCCCCCCCAGGGTTCTCTGTAGCTTTGGAGGCTTTCCTGAAACTCAGTAGACCAAGCTGGCTTCCAATTCCCAGAGATCAGCCTGCCTCTGCTTCCTGAATGCTGGGAGTAAAGGCGTGTGTCACCACTGCCCTGCTTTATTGGTTGGATCCTTTTTTTGTTTTTTTGAGACAGGGTGTCTCTGAGGCTTTGGAGGATATCCTGGAACTAGCTCTTTGTAGACCAGACTGGTCTGGAACTCACAAAGATCCTCCTGCCTCTGCCTCCCAAGTGCAGGGACTAAAGGCATGCGCCACCACCATCTGGCCATTGGTTGGATTCTATAATCCCACTAGTCCTATTCAAGATAGATGGAGCCAATTAGACTGTAGTGCCACATTTTAACAGAAACAAGAAACCCTGCCCATAACAAGATGGAAAGGGAGAATATTACCCATGAGATTGCCTAATTATCCTTTCATTGTTTTGTAAAGGATTTGATTTTCTTTGTTGTTGTTTTTCATTATTGTTTATTTTTTTGCGTGTAAGTGTTTTATCTGCATATTTGTCTGTATCATACATGTATGTCTGGTGCTGGAGGAGGCAGAGAATTAACAGGCAGTTGTGAGCCATCATGTGAATGCTGGGAATTAAATCTGGGACCTCTGAGAACAGCCAGCTGATAGATGACCTCAAACTCCTGATTCTCCTATCCCTACCACCGAAGTCTTAGGATAATGGCCTTGAATTCCCACCCGGAACTTTTCTTGTTGCTGGTTTTGTTTCAGTTTTTTGTTTGTTTGGTTTTGAGGCATTTCTCTGTGTAGCCCTGGCTATCCTGGAACTTGCTCTGTAGACCAGGGTAGATTGAATTCACAGAGATCCACCTGCCTCTGACTCCTGAGTGCTAGGGTTAAAGGTATTTGACAATCACCACCAGGCAGTTTTTGTTTTTGTTTTTGTTTTGTTTTGTTTTTTTAACGTAGGATCTCTTGTAGTTCATGTTAGCTTGGAAGTTATTAAATAGCCTAGGCTTGTCTTGAACTTGTGGTTTTCCTGCGTTTGTCTCATGAAAGTAGGATTACAGGCAGAATTAGCTACCACACCCAGTGTTTTTGTGTGTTTTGGGGTAGGTGGTTGTTTTTTGAAGGGTGTCTCACTATGCAACTTGGAGCTAGCCTGGAGTTCACTATGTAGCTCCTGCTGGTCTCCAACTCTCAGTCTTCCTAACACTGCAGCCCACCCTGACTTCTTTTTTGGGTTCATCATTTTACAGTAGAGGAGAAAAATCCATCCATTTTGACTTTGCTTTCTGTATCTATCACCATATGTGATTTTCTAGGTACTGTTTGTAAGCACTGGTGTTGGATCATTTATGAATTGCATTCTTGCTGCTTTCCCCCCACCGCCCACCCACAGTGTAGTGTGGTGGTGGTGGTGGTGGTGGTGGTGGTGAATGCCCTTAATCCTAGCACTTGGGAGACAGAGGCAGGTGGATCTCTTGAGTTCGAGGCCAGCTTGGTCTATAGAGCAAGTTCCAGGACAGGCTCTAGCTCCAAAGCTATACAGAGAAACTCTGTCTCAGAAAAGTCTTCCACAGCAAAATGTCTTTGCAAAGGAATCTCCTGGAAATTTCTTGTTTTCATTAAGAGTGTCTCTAACCCTGGCTCACTTGGTTCTTACTGTGTATGTAGTCCAGCTGGCCTCAAGCTCAAAACAGTCCTTCTGTCTTGAGTGCTGGGATCACAGGCATGTATCAGCACCCCCTCCATCAAAAACTTTTGTTTCAAAGCTAATCTCTTGATTATTTGTTTTTCTTTCCTAGGGAAATATGTCGTATTCTTCTTTTACCCTCTTGATTTTACTTTTGTGTGCCCCACTGAGATCATTGCTTTCAGTGATAGGGCAGAAGAATTTAAGAAACTCAACTGCCAAGTGATTGGAGCTTCTGTGGATTCTCACTTTTGTCATCTGGCATGGTAAAGTTTTTGGTCCATTTGGAATATGGAGTTCTTTTGGTGTTTTTGTTTTTGAGTCAGGGTTAATATGTAACTCGGCTGGCTTTCTTTCACTTTGTAGTATCTCCAGCCTTAGCCTCATGAGTAGGTGAGAAACAGGTGTATACCACAATACCTGGCAGTATGTTGTGGATTTATTGAACAAATTTAGAGGTTTGGCAGTGACTTAAGTATTGGCTTCTGGACTCCAACTTCCTTTTACTACCTAGCAGCAGAGGCAAAGCAGCTTGAATTGTTGTCTGGTATGTACTGGTGATTACTCTATAAAGTGTTGTCAAGCCATCTAGTTTACTGATGGGAAATTTTTGGGGAAAGAGTAGCCAAAATGTGAGTGATAGGTTCAGTTAATATTCTTTATTCACAAAGGTTTGAATGGATTCTTTTTAGATTTATTTATTTTTATGTGCATTGGTGTTTGGCTTGCATGTATGTATGTGTGAGGGAACTAGAATGACAGATAGTTGTGAGCTGCCATATGGGTGCTGGGAAATGAACCTGAGTCCTCTGGAAGAACAACCAGTATTCTTAATGGCTGAGCCAGGCCCTGAAAGAATGGATTCTAATAGTGGCTTTTGCTGCAGGATTAATACACCCAAGAAACAAGGAGGATTGGGACCCATGAACATTCCTTTGGTATCAGATCCCAAGCGCACCATTGCTCAAGATTATGGAGTCTTAAAGGCTGATGAAGGTATCTCTTTCAGGTATGTACTTTAAAAGTGTGGGAGGTAGCAGTTACTATGAGAATGGTCTAGTTCGCTAATAGTCATTTACTTGGAAAAGTCAACATACAATCTGAGGAGCATCCTTCCTCATGTCATTTTCATTGTGTATATGTGTCCTGTGGATGTCAGAAGACAACCTGGAGTGTTGTTCCTAAGACACTGTCCACTGTTTTTTAGAGATAGTGTCTCATTGGCTACAGACTTGCCAGGTAGGCTGGACTGGCTGGCAAGTGAGTTCCAATGAATTGCCTGTTGGGATTGCATGCTTAATTTTAAATTTATATTTATTATATATGTTTGAAAACTGAGGGTTTTCTGCATGCTAGGCAAGTACGCTACCACCTGAGCTGCATCTATTTCTCATTGCATTGTTCAATATAGTGGTCTCTTATAACTTACAGAGTTGTAAGTCCTATATTTCCTTAGGACTTCCAACAGTGCAAAATTTTGAAATGTAATGCTTTTCTCAATCTGCCAATCTCTTCTACCCAGGGGCCTCTTTATTATCGATGATAAAGGTATCCTTCAACAGATCACTATAAATGATCTTCCTGTTGGAAGATCTGTGGATGAGATTCTGAGACTAGTCCAGGCCTTCCAGTTCACTGACAAACATGGTGAAGGTAAGTCATCTGCCTGGTAATGAGACATTGGTATGGTAGGGTGCAAAGGCTATTAGGTAACAGGGTAATTGTGTATATGCAAGAAATGGAAGTCTGTGGGTCAGAGTGGTCTGTGGGGGTGGGGTAATAAACCTGGAGAAGAAAACAAAGGCTTTTTGTTCAGACTTCATAATCTTCACTTCTCCTGGTAATTTGGAATCACTGACTGCAGGTTTTGAGGAGGATCTCACTGTTAATCCAAGCACCCAGGTAGCAGAGACCAATGGATCTCTGAAATTTGGTACCAGCCTGGTGGACATAGTAAGTTACAAGTCAGCCAGTGCTACATAATAAACCCTGTCTCTTGGGGGGGGAGGGGAGCAGACAGGGACAGGGGGATCTCTGAGTTCCAGGCCAGCCTGGTCTATAGAGTGCTAGGACAGGCTGCAAAGCAATACAGAGAAACCCTGTCTCAAAAAAAAAGGAAAAAAAAAAAAGGTAGGGTAAAGTTAAAGTTATAGAATCAAAGGTATTAAAGGCATATGACACTACTGCCTAGTATCACAATATTTGAGGAAGGTGACTGGACAATGGCTCAGTAATTAGGAACACATGCAGCTCTTGTGAAAAACTGAATTTAGTGCTCCGAATTCAAATCAAATTGCTTTTATGAATGCCTGTAATTTGGGCTCCAGAGGATCTGACATCCTCTTATAGTCTCTGGGTACTCATATATACACAGAGACACAATGAAGAATAAGTGCTGGAGAAATGGCTCGGGATTTGGAACACTAACTGCTTTTCCAGAGGGCTATGGTTTGATTACCAGAACCCACAGGGTGGCTCACAACTATCTTGTAACTCCAATTCAAGGGAACCTGATACCCTCTTCTGGCCTTCTTGGACATTGTGGTGCACAGATAAAATACTCATAAAATAAAAATGAAAGAAAAGTTAAAACACAAACTAAATCTTACAGTGGGGGGAATAGGGGTGGGAGAAACATCCATACACATAAAAAGAAAGCTTAATTTTTGTAAAGTCTAAACATGATTTAGTATGCTTCCTTTTTTTGAGATAGTATCTTCCTATGTAATCAATGCTAGCCTATAACTATGTAGCCCAGACTGTCTTCAGACTCCTACAGATCTTCCTCCTCAGCATCCCAAGTGCTAGGAATACAGTTATGAGCCACCATTCCTGCCTGTTGAACTGAGGTCTTCTGAAAGAGCAGTCAGTACTCTTTCACTGTTGAGCCATTTTTCCAGCCCCTCCTATTGTTTAAATTTGTGTGTGTGTGTATGCATGCCATGAAGCACCAGTGGAGGTCAGAGGACAGCTGTAGTGTCAGTTCTTTTCCTTCCATTTAGGGCTCTGATCATCATGAAATTTAGCTTGTCAGAACTGGGCTGGAGTAAAGGCATGTACCACTGAAAATTTGTGATCTAGACTGGCCTTGAACTCAATCCTCCTTCACCACATCCTGCCAGCATGTACCACCACAAGGAGACAGCCCTTTGTTCATTGAGGCGGTAGGAGTGAGATGCTCCCTACTGAGCAGGTTAATGAATAATGATACCTTTTTCTTGCAGTGTGCCCAGCTGGCTGGAAACCTGGCAGTGATACCATCAAGCCTGATGTCCAAAAGAGCAAAGAATATTTCTCTAAGCAGAAGTGAGCACTGGGGCCATTTTTCTGCCAGGCTGCACCAGAAGAAAATCTCTTACACTCTTTGTGCTAATACACAAAACAAAATGTGTGATCCAAAACATGCCTTTCCTACAGTGCTGGGGTGGTTAGCCTTTCTTCCACTATCAGGAATGGTCTGAGCTGTGTTGTAGGTAGACTGTCTGACATATCTGTTCTTTTTTTTTTTTTTTTTAGTGTCTATTAAACTTGAATTCTGAGAACTTGGTGATTCATTTTAAGGCAATATTAGATTTTAAAGAGGAATTTATTTTTTTATGTGGCGATTTATGTGTGTGTGTTTATGGAAACCAAAAAATAAGGGTGTTGCTCAGGTGAGACTTGAAAAATCAGGATGGGGGCAAGGGGTAGGCTTCTATCTCTTTGGAGAGAACAGGCAAAGTAGTGGCTTTGGATAGGATTATATTCAACTTCTTGCATTCTGGCTATGATTAGAGGATACTCCTTTTTGACCCTTACTGTTAAGTCAGCAAGAAATTTCTCCTGGATTCTTGGTGAGAGCAGACAAAACAATCCTGTACCATGGCCTTCCAGCATTCCAGAATCAAACTAGATGTATTTGATAAGAAAAGTGTAAGATTCTTTAAGCCTTCAGTAATAACTACTTACTATTTGACAGTGTCAAAATAGTTTATTTAAATAATTGGCATAGCCCTACATGATGGGTACCATTTAAAGGGTGCATAACCCTAGGATCCACTGAATGAATCATCGGTTCTCAGCCTGTGGGGGTCAAGACCCCTTTGGGGGGGGGGTCGAAGGGAAAATTCACAGGGGTTGCCTAAAACTATAGGAAAACATTTACGTTGTGATTCATAACTAACAATTTTATGATTGGAGGTTACCACAACATGAGGAACTGTATGAAAGCATCACAGCATTAGGAATATTGAGAACCACAACTCTTAAATAGTATCTTTACTACACAAAAATAGTAATGGTATGAGTCCCATATTTGAAGCAGCTGATTTTGAGTCTGCCTTGGCATGTGAATTGTCTTGACCAATGTAAACTGAGTCTTGACTCTCTTTGAAGAGCTATCATCAGGAAATATTCTTAAAAATCTGCTTTTTTCACTGGGTGGTGGTGGTACCCTTCTCAATCCCAGCACTTGGGAGGCAAAGGCTGAGTTGGAGGACAGCTTGGTCTACAGAGTGAATTCCAGGACAGCCAGGGGTGCACAGAGAAACCTTGTCTTGAAAAACAAAGTCAGGCAGCAGAGCACGAAGCTGGCTTAGCCCCAGTGCTTAGCCCCATGCCTTTGATCCCAGCATTCGGGCAGAGAGTATTTTTGTGAGTCTGAGGCTAGCCAAGCTACAGAGAAACCCTATCTGGAAAAACAGCAAAAGCAAACAAAGTGCTTTGCTTTTTTTTTTTTTTTTTGGTTTTTTGAGACGGTTTCTTAGTGTAGCTTTGGAGCCTATCCTGGCACTCTGTAGATCAGGCTGGCCTCAAACTCAGAGATCCGCCTGCCTCTGCCTCCCCAGTGATGGGATTAAAGGTGAGCACCACCACCAACTGGCTAAAAGTGCTTTTTCAAAACCCAAATTCTACCCAAAATAAATCTACCATAAGTGGGAATCCCACAAGAGCCTGGGGATACAGGTATCAAGGGCCTGGGGATACAGGTGGTGAGACACTGGGGCTAAGCCAGCTTCGTGCTCTGCTGGAATCCTGAGGCTTGGTAAGCATGGAACTGGGATGCTCAGATGTAGTGCTAAGGTGTTCTGAGGGCTGGGATAAGCCTAATAAGGCCAAACGTTGGGCAGGTGGGGTGGAAAAGTACATCTTCTGTTCTTCGGAGTACCGCTCTTCAGGAGTCACAGCATCCCGATAAGTCCAGTCACGCCAATGGAAATTGAAGCCTTCAAGCAGAGCGATGCGGCCAGCTCTTGTAGGCACACAGTCAGGGGGCTTTCTGAGTGGCAAATCTGGCACTTCCGTTCCTGGCAGCAACATTACCCCTCGGATAGCAAACCAGCCTCCAAACCGGGGGTGGATGCACACACCTGCTATGTGCTGGGGAGAGGGCAAAGAAAATCAAGTTACAAAGGTCATTTTGACACTAGGTCCAAAGCTTTTTTTTTTCCCCCTCCAATTTATGAGTATGAGTGGTTACCCTTCATGCAAACTACCTACAGAGGCAAGTTACAGATGGTTGTGAGCAGCCAAGTGGGTGCTGGGGATTGAAAACATCTGCAAGAGCAACAAATGGCCCTGGCCTTTGAGCCCCGGTTTTTGCTCATATTTCCTACTCTGTGCACACAGATTCCATGCAGAAGCCTCTTTCCCTCTTCTTTTGGTGTGGTTTTTCAAGATAGGGTTTTTCTTTGCAGCCCTGGCTGTACTGCAACTCTGTAGACCAGGTTGGCCTTGAGCTCACAGACCTGTCTGCCTCCCTATTGCTGGGATTAATGGCATGTGCCACCACAGCCTGCTCGTTCCCCGATTTTTTTTTTTAATTTTTTATATTTTAAAATTTTTCTTTTCATTTTTTTGTTTGTTTTTCGTCGTCTACCCCCCCCCCCCTTGATTTTTAAGAAATCTATTGTGTGTATGTGAATGTTCCTATAGGGATCAGAAGACAATTTCAAGAATTTGGTTCTGTCTCACCTTTACACGGGTTCCAGGTTGGTATGTTTGTGTGGTACACAGTGCCTTTACCTCCATCTCAATGTCCCTGTCCTCTTCTTGACCACCTATTCATAGAATCATTCTAAAGAATAAGGAAGGGATCACCTGAGCATTGACCTCAGGCAGCTTCCCAGTTTCAGTATTGGTCTCCTGATCACTACTCTGCCTTTAGGTTTTCCTGAGACAGCCATGTGACACAAAGTTTTAAGAACAGAGCAGGCAAGCCTGGTAGTGGTTTATAACCCAGAACTTGGGAAACAGGCAAGTATGTCTCTGAGTTCAAGGCCAGCCTGGTGTACAGAGTGAGTTCCAGGACGGACAATGTTACACAGAGAAACCCTGTCTCAAAACCAAAAACAAACAGACCAGATCAGGCCAGGTTTGGTTACACAAGCATTTAATCCCAGTACTCGGGGCAGAGGCAGGTACTATATGCGTTTACAGCCAATCCTAGTCTACACAGTGAGTCCTAAAACAGCCAGAGATGTAGAGAGACTTGTCTCAAAAACAAAAAAACAGACCAGGAAGTTGGTGAGCCGATTCAGTGAGTGAAGGTGTTTGCAGCCAAGTGTGACAACCTTAGTTCATCCTCAAGGACTCACATGGTGGAGGAGAGAACTGACTCCTGCAATTGTCCTCTCACCTGACCTCCGTAAGCATCTGCACACACAGTACATACTTTTTTTTTTGGCAGGGGGATGGGGGGTTTAGAGATGGAGTTTCTCTGTTAACAGCTCTGGCTATCCTGTAACTTTGTAGACCAGGAATTCACAGAGATCCACCTGCCTCTGCCTCCTAAGTGCTTGGATTAAAGGCATGCACCACCACCGCCTGGCTCGTAAATACTTTTGAAACATTAAAAAGCACCAGGTATTTTGAACTGTTAGTCCTCAGATAAACAGAAAGAAGGTTAAGGGGCCAGAAAGCAGGTGGCCTATTTGTCAGGACCATAGACACTTTGTTCTGGGTTACGTATCAGCTTCATCAAAGGAAGGTGAAGGAATGTGGGACCTCATAGGGATACTTGGAGAAGTCTTTACTGTTTTTTTCTCAGTCCCCACTTGTTCATTCACATGTATTCACTAACCTGGGTCCCCCATGGGTCAGCATAGACATCTTGTCGTTGATAGTAGTAAGCAGCACCTGCCACATGGGCTGCAGTCTGGGCTAGAATCTTAGGGCGCCTGTTGGGGTGGACCTCATAGTCAGCAATGACTTCCATTCGCAGTTCTGGAAACTTCTGGGACAGAATAAGGAGCTCCTGTTAGCATGATGGGAGTCATGCATGACTTTGTTCTACGAAGGCCTAAGTTGTATATTAACATGGTCCTGTTCTTATAAGCTCACGGTTTGGTTTTTGAGACAGGGCCAGAATGACCTTGAACTTGCTATATATAGCCAAAGATAATCTTGAATTCCTAATCCTCCTGCCTCTACCTCCCTCTGCTGGAATTCTCCATTTAAAGCTCTGTTTGAAGGGAAAACATAACTTTATCCCAAGAAGCTGCTAAGTGAAGGAAAGGCCTGTGCTTGAAGGGAAATGCAAAAGATTTTGCTCAAAAGCCTCCCTTATTGTGCCTTGAATTGCACAGTTCTGGGGTGGGAAGATCCTAGAATTTATATGTACAAATTTATGTGCATATAAATGAGTACAGGCTAGGAAATACTGTTCTGTCTTCAAAACGCTCCAAAGACAGCATAGAGCCTGTAAGCCCAGAGCAAAGGACTGAACAATGCCTAAAAGATATAGGATTTACTCATATTACAACTGGAGATTAAGACTAGTCTGAGGTTCATATAGCTGCCCATCATTGTAGTCACCCTATGAAACTGATTTCAGATGGGGAGTGTGATAAGGGAAAGGGTAAAACCTGGTTCCTACCCCTAAGTCTAGACCCTACACTGAGCCTGATCAATAGGAAGAAAATGTAGGTTTGGGAGTTGAAGGAAAGTTGAGCCTTACCTCCACAACACTTCTCAAGTGGTAGGATACGCACTGATCCACGGGGTCTCTCAGTGGTTGGAGATGGTAGCTCTTCAAGAAGGGTTTGAGGGCTTTGTCAAACATAGCAGGTGTGCTGAGTACCAGGAAGGCCAGGGTAGGTCCTGGGAAGGGCAAGTGGAAAGCTGGAGGCAGGAGTTCATTGTACCATGCCACCTGGAACACAGAAAGTTCAGGTCTGGTTAGCAGCTTGGGCCTGAACTGGGCCCATACCTTGGCTTTGTATTAAAGGCCTCATACATTTTGCACCCATCTCTATTTCATTCATTCACAGAACTTTCACTGATGCTCTGTAATATATGCATATTAACCTTGTATGGGCAATCTATCTGCAATTGACAGGGGTTTAGGATTGGAGTTTATAAACAAACCACAAACAGAAAGTGACACTTATGACCAGTCCTGTGGCAGGACCAAGTAAGTATCCTCTGACATTAGAAAAACACTGAAATCGGGGCTGGAGAGATGGCTCAGAGGTTAAGAGCACTGACTGCTCTTCCAGAGATCCTGAGTTCAATTCCCAGCAACCACATGGTGG